TCCAAGGCTGTGGTACTTGCAAAATCCTGCACGCGGAGGTCGATGCGTGTGCAAAATCCTGCAGGCGCATCGGGCATGGGTGGATGAGGAAATTCGGGAGGATACAGGGTCCAAGTGCATCTTATCTCCTTTCATTTAGAGGAAAGGTTGGTGCTTTCAGACTAATGCAGATAACACAGCACAGCCCTGAGATAGGGGGGCAAAGTCTACCTGCTGATAAAGGAACGGTGCTGGCCATTTTCCGTAAGCTGAGCACCACAACGGCTGCTCATGGAGCAATAAGATATGATGGGGAAATGCCCCTGGGCTGGGCAGGATGATGGTCCCTGTCCCATCACAGGACCTCAGCTGTAAACCCCAAATAACCCAAACACACCAGCATTTGCTCGCTGCGGCATGTTCTCCTCCCATCTCCTTTGGGGGTCCGGCGTCTTTATCAGAGATGGCCAGACCTCTGCGTGCCGCTGCACCCCAACCCTGCAGTGACCCCTCCAAGTCTCTGGCATCACCTTAAGCCTCGCCAAAAGGTTCGTCTTAGAAATCCCTGCAGCGTTTTCACTGCAGGAGGGCAGTGGCAGGATTCAGCAGCCTCCTGTGTTCCTGAAGAGCTATCGCTGTCTATTTATGCCTCCAGAAAATGTATTTTTTAATGGGGGGTTCATTAAAGCCTGAAGAGAGCCAACCTAAGAGGCATCTGGAAGCAACTAAAATTAAAATACCTAAAATTAGCCTCCTCAGCAGCGAATCCTCCCTCTGATCTAGATGCTGAGGGGCACGTGACCCAGGCGTGCCTTTCTCATTTTCCCTTCCCACTGCCATCCCATTCCTGAGCTGCCAGGCACAGCCCCAGGAGCCAATGTGCCTACCCACAACCCTGGAAAAAATGGCATCCCTCCACCGGGTTTGCTGGGGTCCCTCCCTTGGTTCAAAAATCAGCCTCCAAGTTTACATTTTGGGACTGTCCCGTCTGAGCAAGAGCTAAAAAATACAATGTTCCCCTGTTGCCACGGGAATCGTCTGGGATGGGGACTCCCGGGCATCACTCTGTCCTGGAGGAGCAACACTTATTCCCTCAAATCCTGGTCATTGATGACACCCAGCCACATTTATTTTTGAGGTGTCTCATTTCCTTCCCAGCTCCCTTGCCATCCAAAAAAGCCCCTTTTGGATCAAGTGCTCAGGCATGCGCTTTCCTGATGGTTAAATCATTAGTGCATGAGACTAATTGAAATCACAGTGCTGCTGGGCTGGTGTGATGCCCTTGGTGCTGCTTTCCTCTCAGATAAATTGTGCATGGAAAGGTTTATCACGTTTTGCACCTCTGGGCAGCACCCATCCCCATTAGCAGGTGGGTGCTGTGGGAGGGATGCACTCCTGCCGGACCCCCATGTTGTTGCAGGATCTCCCCGAGCCTGGACGAGCCCCGGGGCTTGTGGAGGTGTTTGACCCCTGGGGAGGTCCCTGCCCCACATGCATGGGGTGAAGCCCCTGGTAGGATGAATAAAACCATCGCTGCTTTGCAGCCTGCTTCTTCTCTGAGGCAGGAGCGTTTGTCGTTGCCCTCGTTCTCATAAAAAGGAGATGCCAAATTTCCTGCTTTAGCACCCCAAGTAAGAAATTAAGGCATTTTCAAAGACGGGGTTGAAACAGCAACACAAGCCTCACAGGGATTTTTGGAAGTCAGTTGTTGATGTCAAAATCACCACCCGCCTGCAGCAGCTGCTGCTCCACTGTAGCATCCCCTCTGCCCCTGCACCCCTGCCCAGCTCCACTGCCAGCGCTAGTTTGGGCACCAGATGCAGGGAATGCAGGACAGGATGCTGCGTCCAGGATCCAAGAGTCTTCATATTCATTGGTAGAAGATGAAACCACTCTGGGGAGTGTTTCCATGTGGAAATGTGCTGCACATGTAATTTTCCTTCCTCCTCCCCTCCCCTCCCCTCCCCTCCCCTCCTCTCCTCTTCTTTCCTTTTCTCTTTCTTCTTCTTTCCCTCCCTCCCTCCCTCCTCTCTCCCTCCTCTCCCCTCTCTCTCTCCCCCTCTCCCCTCTCTCTTTCCTCTCACAATGCTTTTCTCCATGTCTGTGCGGTCCAGGGGCAGGCAGCACCTTCCATTCAGGGAGGAGCGCTGCAGGCAGTATGAAGGACGTGGTGTCACGGCAGCAACGGGGCACAAATATCTTTTCTATCTTGATGAAGGAGAGTTTCCTACCTGTGGGCATCATCCTGAGCCCTTCCCGGCCCTCCCCAGTACGTAGAGAAGTTTGTGGTGGTGGGAGGTGTCAAGCTGGCAGCTCAGTGGAAATATTTTCCCTAGTGTTTTGTAAATATTATGGTCGATGGGAAAAATAAATCCTCCCATGAAGATTTTGTTTGTAAATTCAATAGCCTAGGGAGGAAACCCATGCAGAAATAGGAGGACATGGTTAATACTGCCTGGCCAGGCTGGCGGGCACAGCTGGGAGGGTGAGGGATAGTTGTAAGAGGCCATGATTTCTAGTTCATTGCGAATTCAAGCTGTGCCACACTACAGCAATGTTGGCTCTCCTCGCTGTGGGTCTGGAGCCAAGCAACTGTTCTGGACCCCACAGAATTACCTGCTCACGAGACACATTTTTCATGAGATAATCCCTTTGTTTTTTAAAGTGAATTATCATTGGAAGCATGAAAATGCTCAATCAGGTATGCCAGGGGCAGGAAAAAAAAGAAAGAGCAAGCAGTTCAGTTCATACACTGCTAAGGAACTTGCAGTTTAAGGGATCAGCACCTGAAAAATCAAATTTTCTGCATTTCTACAGTGATGGATGAGCTCCCTTTTCCTTCTCGTGCTGGGTTTCTGGATCTCACGGAACGTTTTTCAGTGCTGAGGGCACATCCATCACCTGTCTGCTCCAGGTACGGACGCGGGCCGATGGGAAGCGCCTCCGGCGAAGGTTTGCCTAACGGTGAAGCGTTTGCCCGGAGGGAGAGAATTATCTATTGCAGAAATAAAATTGGGGAGATTCAATAGGGTACAGGGGAAATGGCCAAGGGCTTACAGCCCCTGCAGACCCTATAGGCGGCTTATAGTCTGTATAGTCCGGCCTTAGCCCCCAGACATTTTACACTGGTGCCTTAAACCTATATGTAGGTACCTCAGACCCTGCATATAGACCCTTCAAACCCTGTGTATAGACCCTTTTGGGCCCTGTTTATATAGGCTGCTCAGACCCTATATATATACACCCCTGAGACCCCTTTCAGGACCTATATATAAGCCCCTGAGACCTTATATACAAGCCCCTCAGACCCGATATGCAGGCCCTTCAGGACATACAGATAAAGCTCCTCATACCCTATACACAAGACTTTCAGGACCTATATATATAGGTCCCGAGACGCTATATACAGACCTTTCAGAACTTATATATAAGCCCCTGAGACCCCATATACAGGTCTTTCAGGCCCTATATACAAGCCCCTCAGACCCTATATGCAGGACCAATAAAATGCTCCTCATACAGTATACACATGCATTTCAGGACCTATGCATATAGGTCCCTAAGACCCAACACACAGGACTTTCAGGACCTGTACATAAGGCCCTGAGACCCTACACGCGGGCCTTCCAGGACACGTACAGACACCCCTCCCGACCTCCCACACCGGCCCCTCGGGCCCTATACGGCTCCCGGGCGCCGCAGACGCCCCGCCCCGCCGCCCCCAGGC